AAATTCAATTAAAATTCCTGTTACAGAACTGCTTAAGCGACGTCTACAATGAGATTTTAAGGCATAAAACTTAAGTTTTAAGCTTCAAACCATGAGAAATTGAAATTGACCAATCATAGTCGATTGTTCTCCTTACATTCGACTGTGATTGGTCAATTTCTTACAACTTAAGGCTAAAAGCTTAAGTTTTACGCCTTAAAATCTCATTGTAGACTTGCCGCTTTACACAATCACTGTTCCTTCGGTAACCTTTGCTTTGTCCTCTATAACTTCGTTAGAGCGAAAATGTGGCATGAAAGCGTGTGTGCCTGTCCTCACCTTTTGTCCTGGTTCTTTTTTCTTCTGGTTCTTCGTCACGTGGTCATCGGGCAGGTACGCATCAGCTGATGCACGTGCGTGGGTGAACCTTATTGACTGACTGACTGACTGACTAACTGCTCGTCCCTTGGGCGATCTACTGTCGCTCGACACGAACGATTTTGTGGTTGTTATTATCGACTCCATCATGCGTTGCAAGTTTCGTTTTGCCCTGGTTAATTCTTAAAATACATTTTTATATTACATAATAATTATAACGATCGCTCTTACAATTGGAAAGAAGGTGTTGCGCCACGTTTTTTCTTTCTTTATTAAAAGAAGAATCTTGATGTTTTTTTTTTCATATTTTATAATGAAACTTTTCTGTGCAACAATTCGTAATTGATTACAATATAAGTCGAAAGTTGGAAACTTCAATGGCCGGCCCGATCGAAGCGTGTATTAATAAAACAGGCCACATCGCTTCGCATTAAGGATGGCCCGTGAAAGCGTGACTTTTGTTCGCATTATGGCGAATGAGGAAGGAACAGAGTGGGAACCATTCATGTTGGTTCTACTTACGAGTAATTATCCAATGTTACTTTTTAAAATATTCGCATAGAGCCTCCAATTTCTCTAATTTCGAAATACAGAGTACACTTACGAGTAATACACTGTTATTTAATTCCTGAATACAACTTTGAAGAGATACAACTTTTCGACTCTGCTTGCCGATATCTTTCATAGTATCGTTTGCGAATTTCATTTCATTTTACATAAATTGACTGCATCGCGACTATCGCAAGTCGCAACGAGCCTATCGCGGTGTCCTTCCGTGACTCGTCTATTTTTACCGTGCTCTCTCATTCCTGAACGTGCCACCCGGCACATAGCGACGAACGTTCTCGGGATTAGGTAACGCGTTTCCGCGACGGCTACGAGAACGGTGGGTGAAATTTTCGCGGCCGCCTTCACGTCGAAAGGAGGAAGAGGAAACCGCGGATAACGAGCGACGACACCCTGCCGCTGACGACGACGACGACGATGCTGCATTTACACGTAGACCGTTTTCTCTCCTCTTTCTTCTACGCGACCGTCTTCCGCGATGATTAATACGCGCGTGTATATATACATATATATATATGTATATATATATCTATACGCGCCCGCGCTCCGAGATTGCAGCTACGTCCTGTTGTACGTGAAGAAACGCGAGTCGACAGAGAAAGAGAGAAAGGAAGGCGGACGAGAAGAGGAGGTGAATCGGTGGATAGAGAGAACAGTCTGCGCGCGAGTCGAAGCGAGAAGCGACAACGAGGAGAAAGAGAGTGAGAGAGATCGAAAGAGGAGCATACGCGGGCCCGAGAAGAGGAACGACGAAGCGGGGTTCGGGGTGTTCGGGGTGTTCGGGGTGTTCGGGCTGACGGCGGTGAAGAAGGGAAAAGAGAGGCGAGAGAAGGTGGAGGTATGCTGCGCAGCCGTGGGAACCGACTGCCGAGCGAGCGAGCAGCTCGCTCTCCTCTCTTCTCCTCTCCTTTCCTCTCTTTCTATCACGTTCGCCGCCGCGCCTGCCGGCTCTTTCTCTTTCTCTCTCTCTCACTCTTATATCGTAGCGACCACGCCGCGCCTGTCGCCTCTCTCTCTGTTGTATTTGACTGCCACGCGGCCTCTCGCTCTATAACGCGCGTACCGAGAGGAGAGGACCTTCCGATTCTTCTCTCTCTCTCTCTCTCTCTCTCTCGTCATCCCTTGCGTTCGCAAGGACTTTAGAATCAAGCTAGGATTCGCGTTTCCTTTCCTCCTTGACATCCTCACGGGCATATCTTCGCCCGATCGTCTTTATCGTCCTGTGGATTTCTCCTCCGCCTCGGCGATTGCTGCCTACCGGTGCACACACACATACCTATACTTGCACACACTCATATAGAAGTATCCATGGCGCATTGTTCCCGCGGAGAACCGCGCCTTTTTTCGAACGCGATTCCTCGCCGATTTCATTCCGATCCCCCGTAATAAATTAGCTGACGATCACGGTGGCATTTGTCTTCTCCGGCGATTTATTCTCTCCCCTTTTCTCTCTTTTGCTTCTGATTTGTTACTCTTACCGCAAAGACTTTTCTGTCTTTTTCTCTTGTTTTCGTAAAGTACACGTCCCCCGCGTGTCTAAAACTTTGAGACGCGTCCTTGTCGCGAGAGAAAAAGGCGGTTTAGCCCTGCGTTTCTCTCATCTCGCTTCCGTCTACGCCTACTATGTCCTGCCGTCGTGTTCGTCGCTTTTTCACCCTTCTCGCGTGTTCGAGGCCCTTGGACCGGTCTCTCAGACCGCATCTCACACATCTCGCACATCTCGCACATTCGGTACCCCGGCTCCGCCGTAAAAGGTGCACTACAACCTGCACTGCGCTTCTCTCTTTCTCCATTCGCTTCTTTTAGCAGAGACAAATTGCTCCCGCGTCCTTCAACCCTTTCGCGGCGAAGGGCGAACGCGTACCTGTACGATGTACGTGCATACACCAAGTCAAGTTAATTTTAGCTGGAAATGTGTGTACCTAACAGATTCAACTGTGTTAAATAATATAGAAATATTATGTTTTCTTGCAGAAAATTGAAATAATTATTTGAAAAAGCCGATTGATAATAAAGTAAATTTGAATGAATATACTTCTTTCATTTCATTATCAAAACATATATATATATATTTTGGTTTAATTATCTTGAAAATATAATAATACTTTAATATTTGGATTATGATGTTATTGTTGTATTTTTTATCTTTTCCTCTGCTTTAATTTTACACGTTGAGATTATGTTCGGAACGAAAGGAAAGCTCGAGAGACGAAAGCGCAGAGCGTGTAATATCGCATAAATTTCCATGTGCGAGATGACATTCGCCAACGGGATTACCGAGGAAGACTCGTTTACGGGAACTCGAGCGAAACACGGGCGGGAATGGCGACGCTGGCGGATATAAACATTTATTATTCTCTGCGTGGCAACGACTAACGAGGTCGCGTTATAATATCACGAGCCGTACGGTGCTCTCTTTCTGTGTTTACTGTACATGCTCGTATGACGTTAAATAATTAAACGACGTATTATCATTACGGAGACGTGTAGTGTAGAGTACGATGCCTGCAGGCTATATTACACGGTAACACCGTCTCTCGTTGAGACTTGTCGAAGTGATCGTAATGTTTCGTGGTTTCTTGCCGACGGGGAACATCAGTACGGTATTTATGAGCTGTCATTCCGAGTATCTCTACCTGGTATCGTATCCCTCAGCTCCTAAATTACGTCGAGAACAGCTATGTGTTCATCAACAGCGGGTATTCCCGTTTCCTGTCTCATCTGAGGACTTTTCGATCCTTTTGAAACAGATTTCTTTTTGACCTATATCTTTAGAATTTCTATAGGGTAGGACAGGGCTATTTCATTCATTTCCCTCGATATTTTATGTTTCCGAGCACATTTTTTCCGTATACATTAAAGATTATACTTGTGCTCTCAAGAAACAATTATGATTGTATAAAATTGTAAGTACGTTATTGCAAAAAGATATTGTTTGTTGTCGTAAATTTTATATTATTTTAAGGTTGAAAATGACGGAATAACTTCGTTCTACCCTAATTGAACAAATGTTATTTTGTTAATTAATCCTCCATCGGGATCTGTAAAGGCATCATCGATATTTTGATTATGAATTTTTGTAGATAAATTTAAACCTGTGAAAAGTAAATAAAATACAATAGTGCGACTCGTATGACGATGATAAAAACTCGTCGTTAAAGTTTTGACAAGGATTCCAGAATTTTTTCAGATTTTTCTATAATCCAGAACAACAACGAAATTTCTTCTCTCGAAAACTCCTGTTGCCGACGGAAAAGTTAAAATTCACGTTGTCAGAGGGTAAAAGTTATATACACAAGATAAAAAATATTTATCTATCTCAAAGTTCATCAACAGCACGAAAACGATTTCCAGGAAATTATCGAAGATTATACGAGACCAATCGGCGTAAATTAGATTAATTGATCACCACGCGCTTACAAATCTGTTGACACTTTGCAATGATTTACTTAGCGCAATCGTAGTTGTCCACGTGTCGGCACACTTAGCACGCGCGCACGTGTATCTTGACGGAGGGGTACATCATGTGATTATGGAAGTTGACCCCCATGGGGGTTGCGATTCCCCTCGTGCCTAGACGATAACTCGAAAGGGGGATGATTTTCGCGCGCGTCGTCCCTCTTCCTGTTCTATCTCTTTCCCCCTCGCATCCTGTAGGGTGTTCCCTCCCTCTCCCTCTCCCTTTGCCAGTGACGCGTAACCGTTTCTCTGCGCTCGTACTTGATGTGCACGCTCGTCGTTCTGCCGGCGGGCGGACGCGTGGCAACGCGTGGCAGGTGTGCACGTGACGCAGCATACCGCGAAACGTTTAATTTGTTATTAACCCTTTCACCACGGAAACATTTCGTTACCTTTAGCGTTACCGTTATATGTTTCGAAAGTGCGCTCGAGTCACGGTCGGAAAATATGAATGACATATCTTTTCGGTTATCAGCATTAAATCTAATTACGAGACTGAATTAAGAGAAATTATTAATTTCCTCTGGAATTACGCCTCGAAATCTCCTTTTACTTTCCAAACTGATTATTAATTATAATTGTTGATGTTATTAATTTATTTCTTTTTCTATTTACAGGGTACATTCTCATTGATAGTGGAGGCTTATCACGATGCAGACAACAGAACGCATCAATCGGCCGGTGAGTGCATTTTCTCTCTCTTTTTCTTTCTTTTACTCTTTTTGTTTTTTAAATTATATACGGTGATATACGGTGATATTGAAGACGAGTGCGTGCTTGCGCACACGCGCTTGTAAAAAGTCCGAATGAAGGATTATCGTAAAATTAGTTCTGTAGACGTTACGCGCGTTGCTATAAAAGCCCGCGAGAGAGAAGGCAAGAAGATTGTAGGGCATGTGTGGTCCAGCTGGCCCGTAAGAGAGACACGATGTCTCGTGTACGGACCAGTCGAGAAGGAACTTCCGGTCTCTGAGCATGACACTTACCAGAGACGTTGATTCCTTCGTTTTCTTCCTCCTTCGTCAACTATCTCTTGATATTTTCTTCCCTTTAAAGTTCTCTCAAGCTAAGAACCGGAGGGAGAGAAAAGGGTAGGTCGATATTGTCTTACGGTATCGTGTTTATAGTTATCAAGTTTGTCCCATTCATTTCAGTTTATAAAATAACTATTTAACTCCAAAATAAAGCTCTACGGTTTTTTATTTTGAGATACATTTTATACTTACTTATTTTGAGATATATTTTATACATTTTGTTATATTTTTTTATTATTTTTTTCCGATTATTATTGCCCGTTTTATAAATACTGTATTTTACAAAATACAAACATATACATATGAAAAAAATATAAAGGAGAATTGTGTTGTGTTTACGAATACTTTTCATCATTAATTAAACTCCATTTCTTTGAGTTTGCCTTTTTCTTTTTATCATAAACACTATTTCCAATTTTGCGCGATGGCTCATAAATACGTGTTTGTGTGCCTCGGTAATAAATCTTACGTCGAGATCGGCCGTTGTTCCGCGAACAATCGTCGCATTTTCATTGTTCTATTCAGCCTCTATTGCTGCTGGTCGTTCCTCGTTTGTAACCGCGCGTTATTACGACAACGCGTCTCCGTTATGTCATAGCGTTGTGTTGTCGGCGACTAGGAGTTGCGGGAGAGAGGAAAGTGAGAGCAAGGAGAGGAGAGACGGCGGATACCGGGTGGCGGCGGCGCGGCGGCGGCGGCGGCGACGGCACTAGTGTTTCCTTCCTGTGTAACCGTAGTACACTCATCTTCCATCACGCTGGAAGTAACTTGAGTAACCGAGTATATACGGGCGCATCCAACGAGCCTAGCTTAGACCTACCATCAATTGTTCTGAAATTTTCACATTTCGATGCTTTTTTACACCGTTTAACTCATAAGGTACCCAATTTGATCAATTTAACTAACACAATGGAGCAAAATTAAATAATTTAATTTAAGAAAATATATTAAATTTAATTCAAATTTAGTTTATTGTTTACTAGGTGCGCGTTAATAAATGGACTTTTAAACTTAATCATAGAAATAGATTGATTTATATTATGACACACGTGAAAGTAAAAAATGTCAAAATGTTATTTGCAAGAAATTGGGTTACAATTGCTCCTTTGATATCTAACAATATGGAAAGATTTGAAGGAAAGAGAGAGAGAGAGAGAAGAAATTTCAAATTACATTATTCCGCCTTAATTTCCATTTATTTCAATTTTCGATGTAATAATTACACGTAGAATTTTGCCGGAGGCGGATACAACTTGTAAGAACCGCGCATCAGGCGAAACTCGGAGTGCGTACGGTTTTCTACGCACTCGCGCGCAGGTAGCACACGCATCCGCTTCACTTTATTCACTCTCGAGACCGGCTTTAAAAACGGGGTAAGAAGAGCGAGACCGCTTAATTTCTTCCTCAAGAATCCCGTGGGGCCCCTCCGGTAATTAGAATCGGCCGACGGGAGAGAGCGGAAGCTGCATGTACACGCGGCGGCCGCGCGCCCTCATGCGTGTCGCACGCACACGCGTACACCGTCGCTCGGTCGCTCCTTGTATCACCTATGCCGCCGCTGACGTCGTCGTCGTCGTCGTCGTCGGCGTCGTCGCCGGCGTGACTTCGGCCAATTAAATCGAATTTAACTGTTTCGGCGCCACGCGGCCGGTACTTCATTCGATCTCGTGCTTATTTATCTAGCCCTTTTTCTCTCGGATGCTTCTCTCAATAAGCAAGCAGTTGCTCGAAAGGCGCGAACGAGTTTGCGAATGCAAAGTTGATAAGAGTGAGAAACTGGATTCACTGTTGGGTCGAGAAAGCTCGGAAGCTTATGTGGGAAATCTCGTTTCAAGGAATCTAATGAATGAACCGAGATTACCGTGCGTGTGTATCATCTTCTCATGCGTGTTTATGCTGCTAATAAAACTCTCATTGACTGTTGACACGGAAACCAGACTAATTTCTTACGCCGTCTCGTATAATAACTGGGTAGGTTAAACTTGTATTTCTTCATAATTATTCACACATTGATTTATCCGTTAAAATAATTGAAAATTTAACGATACGTCTAGTTTAAAAAGTATTTAAAAACTAATTGTATCTCTTCTGCATTGCATCATTCAAATGGCTTCATTTTGTACGGTAATTACATGTATTTTGCATTGGACGAAAGAACGTTAAGCTATCGCCAAACGAGCTTTTTTTTCTCTGTCTAACACAACGTTTGCGTTTCAGACGGGGCAAGAATCTCCAGTCTCTGGATTTTATCGTCAACGTACCGCTTACCTTACACGCGTCTGCTTCTCGGGTATCTGCGATTTTTCTTTTCTTAGCGCGCGGATGTTTTATAAAGTCATCGACGTATGGAAATCTGTTGTCTCACTTGTTCATCATTTTCTCACACATTTGTCATTTCGCGTCGAATATTGATGGAATTATATTAGTCATTAGGCATAAAGAAAAAATAGATTTTCGAAACCTTTATAAAATTCTTTAAATTAACAAATTATATTCCATTAATCAATATAAAAGAAATATTGTTTATTATAATAAAGCAAGAAACATCCAGCTTGGCTCGCAGTTCCATCTTTTGTATTTATTAATTTTTTTAATTTTTTGGGCCTTAGTATCCGCATATAATTATTGATAAATTATTCCATTACAATTTTCGTCCTAGCATATAACATTAAAATTAAATTAAAAAAAAAATAGAAATAATTTCTCGTTGACGTGTCCGAGACTAATTTGAATCCTGAAAGGTTAATATATCACGATAGTGTCTACACTAATATCCATGATGGGTCCCAAACATTGTCCCGGATATATACCTAGCCCGGGGTCTTTATCGCATATACACCGCTTACATTGTGCTCCATCTACCGTGCTGCTGCTCCGGGCACAATATAATACCCACAACGCACCGGCGAAACGAGCCCTTTATTGCCGCGTTGCTCGGATGCTGCTTCCTTTCTCAGGCGAAACACCACCACCACCACTACTACTACCATCACCACCACCATCATCATCACCACCACCACCTCCTCTCCTAACCGACGCCCCCGCTCCTAGCGTTCTCGCCTCCTTCCCTTTCGGGCGTCCCTCTTCCTTTTAGCCGCCCATCACGCACACACGCACAACCATTATCCGCGTTGCGTTACGTCGCGTTGCGTTGCATTACGTTACGTTGCATATATATGCCACGCCGATGCCCGCGTCGCACCTGCGCTCGGAGTTGCGTTCGCTCCGCGTCGCGTGTCGCAAAAATTTCGTGGGAATCCCCCGGCTCGCCGCCGCCAATTATCGCCGCGATGTTTCTCAAGGACGGTCATAGTCGCGGGAGAGCCGAGATCCGCGAGGAGAGATAAGATCCGCGTTTTTAATCCTGTTACAGAGCTTAATATTACAAGCCTCGTATTACAGCAGACTCTGCATCGAATTACTCTTGGTGAATTACCTTTCGAACGGTATATTTCTCGCACGTACATGTGGCATAAATAAAAATGAACCATTCATACGCGCGGTGTATACGCGCAAAATGTTCCAACTAAAAATAAGAGACTTTAAATAAATATCGGATGGTCTTAAAGTCTCCTTTTTTTTTTATTCCGATCTAATTTTATTCTCGCCGATGCGACGTTATTTATAAATCTCAGCGGGGCAAGGTGGTGTCGCGCACGAACGATTACACGTGTCGATGAGAGCGCTCGACGAGCTGATCGATCGATCGGTCCCTCATGTGTCGAGCGTGCACATGAAGTGGCTTATTGTATGCGAACCAGTTTCCTTTGTCGCTAATGACGACGTTCACCGACATCCGCCTGCTCGGTGTGCTCGGTCGTTGCTCGTTTTGGTAAAGGCCGATCGGATTACTACTCTTCCTTTCCTTCATTCATCCGCCGTAGCGCCAGCGGGGTAGAGAAGAAGGAAGAAAGATTCTTCTCTCTTTCTCCTTCTCTCCCTCGCGCGCCATTCGTTTGTCCGTTTGTTCGCGGTGAACCGACAGCACTATTTATTATGAAGCGTTATGGGATAACGCGCGCGTAAAGAATTAAATGGAGATCGCGATATATATCCAGCCGTAGTACTGTTAAACGCTTCTTTAACACACGCATTTAAGGAAACGGTAGATACGTTCCCACTCGTAATATCACCGTCGGTTCATTAACTAGGTACTATGTGGACGCTCCGGAACCGCCGATGTGTATATCTTTGTGCAGAATCGTGTATATTATTTGGAGGGAAAAAATTTTAATGGTAAAATTTATTGTTGTAACGTTTCAAAATATTAATTTTCGCTTCTAAGTTTCTCGTTTCGAGACTTGAGTCAAATTCATCAGTTCGCTTAGGATTGAGCTGATTGTGGGAAATTTTATTTTATCTTTTTTGTAAGGCAAATAAATTAAATCGCTGAAATATTAATTATCGACGTTAGAAAAATCTCTATAATAAGACACTAATCTCCATCGTGAAATTTCTCTTAAGAATTATAATTGTGAATTTTTCGAAAAAATTGAAATACAGATAAAATGTCTCTTGCATGTGTAATGTCACATTTGTTTCCGTTGCGTCGACTCAATGTGTCCAGGACATATTGGGCGGACTGACATCCTACTTGAGAGTATCCTATTCATTCCCAATTGATGTAACGCGTTAGCTCTTCGCGATGCGTACGCATGCACATATACACGTATGAGCGAAAGGAACTCCAATAGTAGTCGTGGTTCCACACGTGACTTACGTCACCGTCGATTGTCAACCGCTTTTTCCTGGCCAGTTTCTCGTGCTCTCTCTCTCTCTCTCTCTCTCTCTCTCTCTCTCTCTCTCTCTCTCTCTCTATATATATATATATTATCCCTCTTCCCCTCCCTCTCTTCTTCTCACAAACAGACCACCGTTGCACCGCCGCGACTCGCTCTCTGCACATCACCCGATGCACTCGAGAGAGCGCACCTGCCTTCTTTCATGATAATAACGACGGCGATAATTGGCCGCCTTCCCTGCGCACTCCACGTGTCAACCGACAAAAGAGAGAAAAAAGATCAGGCTACGTCTTGCTTTGCGATTGAGAAAGTCAATGAAAAATAATATAAGTCTACTTTCTTAAAATCTTATGGAAAAAGATTTTAATCTTCAAGTGGAATTCAATTTAGATTAATCTTCGCGGATTTTTAAAAGTCTGATGAATTGAAATTGATTACGATATATACCGGAGATTGTAATTATTTATTAGAATACTTAAAAAATGATTGGCTCTATATTAGGTCATGGTCGCCAAAACCTCCTGTGCGATAGACTCCAATAGACTTTCTATCTGCCGAACCTTCAGTGGGGGTGGAGCCGGCGGCGTTTCGGAAGTTAATCCATCCGCGTTCGGGTTTTACGATCCATTTCGCTAAATAATCGGCGCGTCGTTTTTTCGCGGAGAAACAGCACAGCGGACGCAAAGTGCCGCTGGCTACGTGCCAGCACTTTTCTCCTTCTTTCTCTCGGGGCGATACTTGTTCGGCAGCCGCTCGTTTCTGAATGAACAATAGAAAATGTCGGCTACGCGCCGGCGCTGCGCGTCGTTAATGAATACCTTGAATCGGTCTGGCCTCGAGCACGCCGGGTGTTTACCGGGTGTATACGTTGATATACGTGTGCGGATCGTGGTCAAGTAGAAACGAGCGGCGGCGATCTCTCATCGCAAACGTATGTATGTACATCCTAATGTTGTCCGGGGGAAACAGCAGCAGGAAGTTGTAACTTTGCCGATACACGGCTGGTAGCGCGCAACATAATCACTTTCCAGCGAATGTAAACGTGGATTAATTTTTTTCCGCGCGTCGGAACGTCTTCTATCATATGCGCGTGCATCTTGCATATTTGTGCCTTGGAAGTCTGACTTTCGTTAGAATTTGTACAAAAAGACGCTTTCTAAATATATATACTGTTTAACGAAGATGCCGCTGAGACAACAGTGATTATTATTTCGTTTAAATATTTAAAAGTAAAATGCGAAAACGTAATTGCGTCAATGTAATATTATTTGGGACGTTACATTGTTGCCGATTAATTATGATATCAATAATTTGTCTCTTTAGAGATCTACGTCTTTGCAAAGATTTATAAATCGATTCATCTTCGAGTATGTTTTGCTCCGTGCATTTATAGTAGCTCTCTGGGGATCGAACGTGAAACGGTGTAGCGTGCGAAGATCGGCGTTTTCGGAACTCGTAACAGCATCACCTGGGAAGATAGCCCAGTAAACTGCCTCTCCCTCCTATATGTATATATGTATCTCTCTCTCTCTCTCACTCATCTCGACTCCCGTTTCGCCGACAGCCACTTCCCTTCTGGGAAGAGAGCCTGATCTGACTCCCTCCTTAAGTATCTTCGGGCACGCCATCGGCAAAAACCTTCGTCCTTTTGTTCCTTCCTCGCTCTTTCTTTTCCTCGCTCATTCGTTTCTTCGTTCTTTCGTTCTTTCTCTTCGATGCGTGTAGTGAAGAGAGAAAGAAAAAGACACAGTGGCGTGTAATCGAAGGGTCCTTTTCATTGTCAGCAAATCGTATTATTAAGTAATAACAATATCAATTGAGTCTTTTCGAATTACAGAATTTTCTCGTTCCACATATAATTATATTGATAAGGATACCTTCAATTACGCGATTAATATCAAGAATTTTTTCGCTAATGACAATGACGTAAATTATTTTATTAATAAAGAAACAACATTAAAAATCAAAGCAGTTTTTGAAATAGCTTTTATACTAATCGCGTTTCTAGTCATGTTTAAATTTAATAATAATTTTAGAAAATATTGATCGTAATTCTCTTCTACGATAACGGAAACATAAATTGCGAAAAACTTACGTGTTTTTAAACTGTCATTTCTCAAGTTATCATATTAGACTCACTTTATCTGTCAGTGATGATTTTCTATTGAGATTCGAGCTTTCCTCTTGACGGCTACGCTACTGATACTTACTACATGCGATAGACCGCAGTGGAATCGGTGAGCCCGATACGCTACCGGTTCGACTGTGAGGCGCACGAATACGCGTGTGCACCGAAAACCGGTGCCGTGAGATGCAGGTTTTTCGGTAGGGCACCTGATCGTAGCCCCGGATCCTAATCTGTCGGGGCTATTACGATAATGTGCCCTGGTGTAAGGAAGGTTGTAGCCTCCGCTCGTTCGTTCGCTCATCCGTTCGTTTACACGAAAGCGAGTAGAGACACCGGACGAGAGGACGAACCAGAGGCGAAGACGAGAATGAAGTGAGAGAGAGAGAGAGAGAGAGAAAGAGAGAGAGGGGTGAAGAGGCAAGGAAGGAAAGAGAGAGAGGAAGGAAGGACGCCTCTTTCCCAGAGCCGCAACGTGGTATACTCACTTACTCTCTTTGTGCCGGATGCGTGCCGCCGACAGAGTAGCAATAGCGGACGAACGTCCGGTCTGCTCTCTCTCTCTCTCTCTCTCTTTATTTCTCTCTCTCTCTCTCTCTCTCTCTCTCTTCGGGAAAAAGACGAAAATTGAGAGGCTCTATCGATCTCGCGCCGGAGGCCGATGCACTTCGATCGCATCATTGGGTGCAGCGGTGCACCTCGTCGCTCTGCCCCAGTGCTGATGGTTGCCTCGACTAATTACTATCACATTGCGTTTCATTGTTGCAAATGCACCGTTAATTTAGCGATTAATATTGATTTCTGTTGATGTATATCTACTCTATAAAATCTTCGAAGTAAAATCTAATTCTTATTTCCCAAGAGTGACAAAGAGTGACGATTGAGCCAGTGTTGAAAAAGAGTGGTTCAATTATCAATGTTTAAGTGTGAGTTCTTTGATGAATACTCGAGAGTATGATAACAACAGCGATACATGTTTCTAAATTAATATAAAAAGTATATACAGGATGTCTTACTTGTAGCTTAAGATACGATATAAGATTATATATAAAGAAATCTTGAATAGATGGATGTCGAAGTCACTCAAACGGAACATAATCTTTTGGTTTTCCAGAGAAAGTATTGATCATGCGGTTGACCACCCAGAAGTGGCTGGACGTTGATCCGGATTGGACCGTGGACGACTTTGCGAGTGCACACTCACGAATAGAATACGAATATAGGGTGACTTGCGCGCCGCACTATTACGGCAAGGGTTGCGAGGACCTATGCCGGCCGAGAGACGACAACTTCGGCCACTATAGTTGCAGCCCAAGCGGCGAGCGCGTCTGCCTTACTGGTTGGAAGGGTGACTATTGCAACACCCGTAAGTACACTATTTACCGATATAACACGCACCGTATTTTAGCGGTAGCGCGACACCCTGGCCGCTATTTATTTCCGTGTTCTCTATCACGACTGCACGCGCGCATCAGACATTTGTCCCATCTTTTCTCAGTTTGATCAGTAACGATAATAACCTTAGGCTAAAAAGAACCTACTGGATAAAGGGTAATAAATAATCAGTGATGAATAAATCATGATGCGATTATAAAAGGAAATGATTAAAGACTACGACTGTTTGTACTATTATGTTCTCCCGAACGCAATCTCGCATTTCTTCCAAGGATTTTGCGAGGCACGCGGTTATTAACAGGCAACGTTGCTGCCTCCGCGATCCCTACCGACGTCGAATATGCACGCTACCTTGGTAAACGACGATACTCTCGCGAATCGGCCGGCGCGGCGCGACTCACCGAACCGTTCCTATCCTCGCGTTCTCTCGCTCCGTGTTCTTTCAAAGCCCGGCATCTCTGTGAAGGAGAGGCCCAGTGCAGTCCGGTGGTGGTGCGCTGCAGCGCGGTGAGACTTCGAAGCGTGCAGCAGCTTCCCACGCTTGGCTCGCGCGTGTGCGAGTATCTCCTTCTCTCTTTCTCTCTTCCACTCCCTCTCCTTCAGCCGAGAGCTCTCTTTCTTTACTCTTCTCCGTCCCGCGACCCGACTACGGCATCCCTCTCTTTTTCACTCTCGCGTACCTGCGAACCGACCGCGACCTAATCCGTGTGCACGTGTAATGATCCGAGATTGTGTGAACGAAAGAGGCGAGGAAGCAAAATCTGCCTTCGTGTGTGGCTCTCTCTCTCTCTCTCTCGCTCTTTCTTTCTTGCTCTATCTTTTTCGATCTTTCTCTTATTCTTCTCTCTTTCATTCTCTCTTTCTGCTGAGAGTTCGCGCGAGTCGAATGGAACGGTCGTGTCTGTTACCGGAGTCACAGTCATCGATGTCGGAGCTCCTGGCCTCTGATGCGTACAGGTTCGTACCCGCACCTGGTCCAACTATGTCTGACCTGTACGTACAAAGGTGGTTTTATTCACGATTTTACTAGCTAGTTTTGGTTTTCATTCAGTAAATCCGGGACTCGTTTTCAGATTATGTCGAATTGTCTGACCGAACAAAAGCTCCCCGATCATGCTGAGTGTGTCCTCAAATGTCTTCAAATTTCGCAAAGAATAGGAAAAATTTGGAAAAAAGGCAGGGTATCATTTTGTCTGCTTCATACTAGAACTAGAGTTTATATAATTTCAATTATAAAATCAAATCATTATTCCAAATTGTTTTTAAAATAATATAACTTGTATATTATTAAAATAATATAACTTACATATTTTTACTTGTGTTTTATGTAAAAGATAATGTAAGTATCATAAATATGTAATTTATGACTTTTATGATTTTTTATTTTCTTTATATATTTTTTTATGTATTTGAAAAAATATCCGTAATTTCCATATCGATAATAATTCTATCTATATATATATATGAATCGATTAATGTCTCCGCTTGAATCATGTTTCTCGAGGTTTCCACTTTCCCACGAGTTTTCTTCGTTTATGCCAATTCTCAGATCCCGAATTCCAGACTCTCGAATCCGATTAAAGTGAAAGATCGATCGTAGGCGAAGTCTCCCCGTGTGTGGGGCCCGTCAGTCCCCGGTCGTTGCACTCGACGCCGACTGCTCGTGGCCGCCGCGATCGACAAAGTTCGCGCGTCGATTACTAATGGACTACTTTTCATTTCGTGGATATTCCTCACTATCGTTCGACGAATCAGTTATTCGAGCGATCTTTTTGAACTACTCTTTTAGAACTTGTATCGTATGCTGTATACTCTGATATTGGAAATAGTATGATTTAAGAGAATTTAATACAGCTAACGGGCTGGGAAACCAGCTCTTCGTCAACATCTTTCTTTTAATTCGCATTACTTTTTCTGGTAGCAGAAAAAGCAAGATTACAAAAAAAAAACATTGATTTTGAAACGCATTTAATGAGGCGGAAAAAAAACTTGATTGTCCGCTACCGCAATATTCCTTACGATTATGCAGCTTAACGAGAAGCGGCAAAATCACTGTCGCGTTCTCGCTCGATGAGCAGTCGGCCGCAAAACCGTCAGGAAGTACAACGATATAAATCACGAATGGCAGACTCTCCTTCGGAACGAGTCTCGCGAGAACACAAAAGGACTTTCACTTCTTCGGAATCTGTTTGAAAACGGCGGTAATCTCGCGTTCGATTTTGCTTCCGCGATCTTGTATCTTTTCAAATCTTAAATCTTTTCACATTTTTTTAATACGTCTCTATTATACACCATGTTCAATATTAATCTAGATTATTGCCGTACAGAAATTTAATACTGTATTATTATCATACTGTACTTTGCAGGTGAATTTTGGAAAAAGTTATTATCTGACAAAGATTGATATCGTAAATTCATCAATATATAATATTTTTTGCTTGTTTGGAGCCGCTTTATTGTCAATTTTTGTCCAATTATTTCGATTAGACGTGAGAGTGTCCACATCCCTTCGTCTAATCCAAATCGGTAGCAGAAAGTACTCGTCATCGGGCATACTCGCGACTGAATTCTCGCGGCCGCACTGCCGAACGTGCACTTTCTCCGCAAGTTCGATCGTACATGACGAAGGGTTAACTCCTCTCTATCTCGTTAACCCCATGGTGAGAGGGGTGACTCGGTCGGTAGATTCAGCATAAGCGATTGGGCTAGCAGTCGGACTCTTTCGGGGGTGCCGATACGAAGGCGTTATATAGGGGTTGTTGGCGGGCGCACTGAGAGAGCAGCTGCAACGCGCGAACGAGCTGGCCTGAGCGAGTTGGGCCCTGACAGCTGCACCGAGAGGACGGTGCTTTAACTAACAGCTGCCCTGGACTCGTGCTCGCAGTCCACGTACATTCCGGCTTCTCTATCCCCCCCTCCCTCTCCCTTTTTTCCCTCCCTCCTTTCTTATCCCCGCAGTTTTTGTTCACCTCTCGGTACTTTTCCAAATGTACCTTGTGGTGTCACCTTTTATCTTTCAGCCTACCTGACTGAAACTGGATTGTTCTATCAATTGTGGTATAGATTTAGCTTAAGGCGACTTAGACTTTAACAACATCGTTAAATAAAGCGGACAGTAATAATGGCTACCTTTGAGGATAATATGCTACTCAACCCAAAATTGGTATCGGTTTTTGCCTAAAAACTTGGCCACAATAGATGTGATTTCCGGTCGTCAAAAGACTAATTCTTACAATCCCCTTATAAGATTTCACGAGTCAACGAGAAATTTTGAAATCCTGTTTATATTTTATATCCTATAGAAGAATGTATGCGGTATTCTTTCATCTGACTTCTAACTATTCGCGTGGACTACATTTAACAGATATTTGTCACAATGCGGCGGCAGGTATCCCATAGGTAAGAAATGGTGACAATCATTCATTCTTGTTAGTGAGGAAAAAAGAGATTTTTGAGGGGAGAAATGGGTTGACAATATCGCTGCTACCGAGGGGGTCGGAGCTGATGACCATTTCGAAGGGAAATCGTTGACCATGGATCAGGAAATCAATAAGTACGTTGCGAAACTGGGGGAATTCGGGATGTAACACTGGCTGTGTCGCGACGTGTGTTTTTCTTTCTTCCTTTTTTCATGCCCTCTGCTTAGGGATCAGGCGTGTAAAAAAAACCGGTGCGCAAAAATCGGCAGATTCATTGAGAATGACACTTGTGTATTATATGTTACCTGTCCTATCTATTCACATATGGTCTCACTATTCAATATACTTTATTCATTCACATATAATAATTTTTTCAAACTTTATTGCCTATATGGATGATTAATTGTTTATCTTTCTTGTGTATCTTTGTTCATATATATCATGTGTTCGAGTATTTAAAGGAAGTACGAAATCCGAAAATTTAAGCGAACAAGCCCTGAATTGCTGATCATCGTTTGCAATTTTCAAAATAAAATTTCAATTAGCATTTAAAATATATAAGATATGAAATAACAGGTAATGTACAACAAAATATTATATAATAAACGAATATTAATTAATTAATTAATTAATTAGGTCAACTTTATATGAAAATGAAAACAAATTAGCTAACATTGACTAATTAATAATAACTTCAATTGATAATAAAGTTACATTAAATGAGAATGAATAATTATTATTATTATTTCATTTCATTGTTACGTCTAACCTAATAACCAGTTTCAATCGTTTACGGCGTTTTACAAAATCCTACGGAATATAAATCACAATTCGTTGTGTTATACACAAATATAATTTAATTACACATAATTTTATTAGATGTTTATTGTGTCGATATGCGAGGACTTATTAATATTCTGTTAAGACTCTCTATACAATGCTTAATTTGAGAAATACGATTGTTAAAATATCGCATCGACTGAAATGCGGGAGAATCTTCAACAACTTCTTCTCAGCTTCTTAGAACACTTCGGTCGGCTTGGAGGACCAAGTGTTCCTCGAGAAGAGAACATGCGGCGAATTTATAGCCCACCTCGCAAGGTTTTATCTCGAAAAATCGCATGGTCGCAAATCGGTCGTAAATAATCCTCCGAAGGGCAAGATTTGTCGCGGCTTACGAGATTTGTTTAGTCACTGGCTTCTCCGTCGCACCTTCTTCACCGCCAGGAAGAAAAGGACCTTTCTTCCCTTTTCTTTCGGCAACGGTACGGCGAAAAGGTGGTATACTTGAGGAGGAAGAGGAGAGAGGATAAAGAGAAGAAGGAAATGAGGTAGAGGTAGGGAGGGTCGCAGTGGAATCTCTGCGATTCGGTCGTTCGTCGACGATACACCGGCGCAGTGCGGCGCGGCCGGAGAGGGTACGAGAAGAAGAGATGATACCGCGGGGCTGAGGGGGGTCGTATCTCTCGTTCTCCGCTCTATAAATACCATACTCCTTAGCGCTCAGCCTGTGCCATGCCATACCGCGCTGCGCCATGCCATGCCATGCCATGCCATGCCATGCCATGCCGTGCCGTGCCGTGCCGTGCTGTGCTGTGCTGTGCCGTGCCGTGCCGAAGTCCGTCCGTCCGTCCATCCGACCAGCCATGGCGAATAAGAGAGTCGGGCCGTTGCGCTCGGTGCCAAGGTCACGCGGCCCTCGTGCTGCTGCTGGCCCTGCACGCCGGCCGGCCCTGCCTCGCCGAACCGTGTCGGAATAGTCGAACTGCCGCCCTCAACCCCTTCATTCACCAAGTATCGAGCGTACCGGGAGATTTTTCCTTTCAATTTTTAACCTGATTTCGATGAACGCGATTTGCCGTTGGCAAAATCCACCAGAATGGTGAAATTTAATTTATTAATCCTATGTAGTAATATAACGATAATATGATTGTTGACGCTGTTCTAATCGTCTTTACATATAAATTCTAGACTTAATGTTATCGATCTTTTCTGCTTGTATTGACAATGCAAATCTTGGTCGATTATCGTGCTGTTGTCTCCCTGGGTTAACAAGGTGACGAGGAAGGAATCCAAACGGGCGACTATCAATTCCTCGCATACTTGCACGCGGCGCGAGCTGCCAGCGATAAATCGCAAGGGTAATGAAATTGTGTCACGCATCGTTCGATGCGAGGACGTCTAGTTCGCGAACCCTACGTGAAGAAGGGGAAGAGGTTCGTGCTCTCTCTATAGTTGGCCGGTAGCCATCCAGAGTTTTCTAGTTACGTATGCGGCGAGGAAATTAGTCGATTGGTTACCGAAACGATACGAGAAGTAAACGCTACCGCACGTGGTGCGTGTCACTCTCTTCACCTTTTAAACGACCCGCATCCGGGGTGCCGTTACGCGTCTCCCCCTCAAATTCGACCGAGTCATTTGTTTGCGGTTTACTTGTCCGATAAGGAAATAGAATACACGTCTTTCACGCGGTACCACCACCTGTTAATCATTCCGTTTCCTGTATTAGCGTTTTCAATTTTAATTCTTATACCGAGGAACAATAAAGTTTATCAAACTGAAAACGTATCAGAATAAAAGTACAAACAATAAAAATAAAGCTAGAAATACAAATAAAATAATCGCACAATCTTCAATAATACAAGAACGACATACTTTACTATGGCGTATCCAATTCAATTCGATTGTTTGTAACTTTCAAAAATAAACATATTGTAAAGAATTTATTTTCAATCGAATCGCCAGACATTAAGGAACATAACGGTATCAAGCGAATTTATGTATCTTAGCAATGGAAAAAGCGTTGGGAAAGAAACCGGGTATGCCGTACTCAAAATGGCACCAAAAGGGTACCAAATCATCATCACTGCGTCACATGCTGAAACACTTTACAGCAGAAGAGTATTTTACGTTCTGAAACGTATAAAGAAGGACGAACTACCGTATACGCGTGTATGCATGCCATCAGACATATCGTACCTACATACACCGTATTCACCGCTCGCTCGTGCAGTCGTGAGGGACGCGATCGACCTCTCGCCGAGAGTTGCCTTAACCTCTTGGATTTTTTCTTACTCATTTCAGCCCGCTGCCTGCCCGGATGCGACGAGCAGCACGGACACTGCAATCGACCCAACGAATGCATGTGAGTATATATACGTACGCGGCTTTCGCCTAATACCTACACGTTCGCTGGTAGTGTGCACGTTGTTCGTATGTGTCGCGTGTATGTGTACATTGCACCGCCCCATACAACCGCCAACTAAATTCCTGGGCCCCGACGCGGTGCATCCACTCCTCTGTATGCACCGCCGCCGCGGCGCGGCGTATGCATGTACGCGCGCGATAATAATTACGCGCATACCTATCGTAAATTATCGTTCGGCGCGATTTCGAAAATATACGCCAGCCAGCAGCTCGTGGACTCCACGTCACGATTCTAGTAACTCCTACACAAAGTATCCTGGAATCATTTCATTCTCTCGCAAGATGTTAGAATTCTTAATGGAAGAGAATAAGATGATGAGTCATTTGAATTTTCAATTTTTTTTAAATGTTGTTTTTTCGCAAAAGTTTGAGAAGTAGAAATAAAGTTTAAAAGTACAAATGTAAATTCTGTTTAGTGAATAATTTAACGTTAAGAATTTTAATAATTCCATTTGCGTACTGTGTAACGTAATGTTACTGCTAACTTGAAGATGCATTCGCGCCCGGTATTATAAGTGCGCACCCGTTGTATATTTTATCATACGCAGATCTTCGTAATGCTTTTGCGAGTGTGCGCACATGCAGCGAGAAAGAAGGACGAAGCTGGAATTTGAAGCTCCCCGATTGCTTTCCGTTCTAACGAGGCAGTTTCCGAGGTGCCAATCGTTCTTTCTTCCTTCCCAGATTCTAACATCGCTTCTCTTCTCTTCTTTTTCCCCACTTACTATCTCCCCCTCTTTGTTTTTTTTCTCTTTTTCTTTCTTGGCTCGCCATTCGACGTGCTGTTGAATTTTCCGATTTAATCTGCTCTTTGGCAACGTTCCGGAATTCGAATTCCGAATATTTCTGCGCTTCCTCAAAGTCGTTCGTGTAGTTTCAATCCAACTTCTCTCTTCAGCAAAAGTCTCCTTCAGTAAATGTAAGGATATTCCATAAGAATATTCCATAGATTGTATGATAGTATTTTAAGATATGTTTTATCTTTTTCATAGATCCTTTCAATGAATTCATCAAATTATATAGAAATCATTTCGAGAGGTCTCAATTTTTTCGCGATCGCGCTTAATGTTTATATTTTACCATTAATATTAAACCGAGGAACTATTTTGTTTCTTTTTTATGTCGTAGTTAAATAATTAATAATATATGATAATGACTTGCGAATATCATATATTTCAAGATACCTCGTCACGCTCGACTCGAATCTCGGACTGATCGCGTTAACTCGGGGTTTGAAGTTAATTCAATCATCTAATTACTCTACGACCGGGGTTAATTGTTTCGTTAGCTGCAGCAGAGTTCGTAGTTTGAATCTTATTCATGGTCGCTTCGTTCTCGTGTGATTTTTCAATAAAATTACTTAATAATCTTATTATCTTTATATATATCTTTTCAATGTTTTATAATGAATTGAAAAAATACATAATACGTACGAGACCATGCATGATGGAATGATTCAAATCTTGTGTTAGTAGCTATCAATTTATGATTTTTCAATCAATTTGAAATTGGCTTTCCTATAACGATAATTCATTCAATTATAATCTCTTTCTCACGACTTTTTGACATTTAAAATATATTTAAAGAATTTTGGATTTTTCGCTTCTCTCGTTTCCTTCGTCATATTTCTCGAGTCGTTTCGAGCGCCGTCCCCGTTAGAATTGGTGCCGTCGCAAGGCTCAAAGTTGCACGATTGTGAAAGGAGGAATGGCGCAGATTTTCCCGCACTACGAAATATACATCGTCGTAAGTTCTCCGGCGATGAATATCGAGAGTTTCTCGCGACGACGGCAGTGAACGCACTACGCAAACTGTGTGTGTCTAACGTTCTCAAGAACGTTCACACAATGCCGGCGATTAAATTCGAAAATAACTTGATTTCGAATTCGCGAATCGAAATGTTAGATTGTTCGATCTTTTTAAAATAAATCAATGATCATTAAATATTTAATTGTCAATGATTTAAGAAATTATAATTTATAATTTTATCATATTATGCGTATCTATAAATACTCCGCGACTTGTAAAAAATGTAACAAGTACAATAAATTATGCAATGTGTAAAAAAATTCCTTTGCGATGTAAGTATCATATATATGGTATGTCGTTTCTTCATTGCGTATTATTTCGTGCACCATTTTAATACGATACAATCACTACGATGACACGACACGCAACGTACGTCAACTACAGTGTGCGCTTGCACATTACGTGCACACGCCATTTTCATTATGGATAAATTTTTTTTATATAACCTTTAAACCATTCGACGTTCGTACCTAATGAATAAAAATATTGTTACATGAATGTAACGGAATTTGATCGATGTTAACCTTGATTATACTCTACGTGCACGCGACAATGGCTGACGCATGCCGCTTTTACACGCCCCGATCGTAGATGATTACGCAGATTGCGGGAATGGAATTACGATACACTCGTTTTCAGTCGTATAGCGTATATTCACGTATACTTGGAAAGGACGATAACGATCATTTCGAGGTGACGGGTCTCACCGGACTCGTGGGATATCGCTCGTGATACGTGGAAGAATCACGGCCGTTGGACGCCCCATTGAAATTTTGGGGCCCGCGTGCGGTTGTGCGTGCGTGTGATGCCTAAATACTAATGACGATGCATCGACATTACGATCTCTCGTCTTTTGAGGGTGAGGGCGTCAGACGATTTCGCTTAAGCATTAAAAAAAGAAACCCAAACAGGAAACGATGGTGTGTTACGAGAGATACCCCTGTCATATTTTGATATTTTATTTTGTTGAATTAAAATTAATATAAAATTAGAAGTGTTCAGATTTATGTTTTAAATTCTATGAAAAAAGTTCTAATGATATAAGTACATGGTACATGCACGCACATGAATTTGATATTTTTCCCGACAAATGTCAAAATTGAATCTCTCGATTTTCTTTATGGTCTTCTCACTTGGTCATATCATTCCGATTCGATCCCGTTTAAATAGCCGCATAATAACAGGCAAAGGTCAAAGAACGCACTCGTCTCGAACGTGGCGCGGTATCCTCGCATCTGATGGGTACAAGAGTCGCAAAGAGAGGCGGAGGAGGAAGAGAAGAGACGAGAGAGAAGTCGTTCTCTCTCTCATCTTTTCCAGAGAGACATTTAACCGAGTCTGATACGCGCATGGGATTTCCATAGCTGACCGAAGAGCAGAGCCAATCCTTCTCCACCTCCTCTTCTTCCTTCTGTTCCCCTTCGTCCTCGTCAGCGCATGACCTATCCCCCGGTGGTAATTATGGCATAGTCGCGATTCTGTTGTGGCCTAGCCACAAAGTAGAATGCGTGATCACGTGGGGATGCCACTCATCGATGTTCTTTGAGGGAATACACGTTCCTAGGTGCATCTTTCACCTTCGTCTTTCGCGATAACAAACGATCGTGAATAATCCGCGCGATACAGTTCGACTAGCTTTCCAACCTCTTTGATCCCGTTTTGTCTTTTTCTCATCTCTTCCTTTACCATCACCGTATTCTGTCTTTCTACATTCTTCCTCACGTTCTTCTTTTCTTTTCTCTCTTATTCTTCTCAGATTGTGGCGGTTTTTCTCTCTCTCTCTCTCTCTCTCTCTCTCTCTCTCTCTCTCACTCACTTTGTACATAGAACTTAATGGTATAGTCATGCGACGTCCACGGCTGCAGTTTCCCCTCTGCCGTCTCGTCTTCAGCTTTTTCCTCGGCTCTTCGTTCATCTTTTTCTACCTGTCTCCCTTGCCCTTCCGTCCATACCTTTATTCTCTTACTATCTCTTTCCGTCTACGATAGAGTCACAGCGAGAGAGTCACAGCGACTGTATGCTGTACAGTGACGTATACGTGCGGATACGTGCGATAGTATGGGGCACCGCGAGGACTGAGGAGGCGCGCGCGAGCGCGAGCGCGAGCGCGAGCGCGCGCACGCACACAGAGGAGGGTAACCTTTCCTTGACCCGCATACTGAACGGCTGTGCTGAGGCTCGAACCGTGGGAACACACTACTCGACGACTCATCCCCCACCGCTCCGTCAGAATTCTACTCCCTCCCCCCTTCTGCCTTCCTCCTTACTCTTCTGTTCTCTCCGCGCCGTCCCCGTTGGTCCCGCGCAGTTCCCTCTCCTTTCCGTGAACTCTTCCTCGCTGCTGTCCTTCTCTCGCTCCTTCGCATCCCGGTGCTCGGGCCCCCTGTCCCCCACCCTTCAATGACTGCTTCTTCCCGTTCGCGCCACCTTCGGTCCCTTCTCTACCCCTTCCCTCTTATTCTCAGCGCGCTCGTGTGCACCCTATCCGCACATTGAAACAGTTTCTCTGTGATGTATATGTGTGTGTCATGGCGCATAGCACACACATATGTAGCATCCTCTTTTCTTTCTACCTCTCGTTCTTTCGTTATCTCTGTCTGTCCCAGTCTCTTTCTTCTTCATTCCTCTTTGAAGCATAACCCCCGCACGTAATGTAATGGCCGACCAGCGTATCATCCTCATCTCCTGGCATGCCACCCTCTCACCCTTCACCAGGTTTCTTCTTTCTCTCTCTCCTACCGGCTTTATCCACTTTTAAGATATTCCCTGTCGCTGTACGTTGCCTCTTCCCCCTTTCTGCTTCACGTCGGTTCTTCTCCTCCTCCTCCTCCTCCACGGACCGCGAATCTTTTCTTTCTTCGCGACTCTGCCAAGAAGTCCTCGTGCTATCCTTTCCTCTCTCTCTCTCTCTCTCTCTCTCTCTCTCTCTCTCGTCTTCCTGCCGCATATCGCACACATCCGCGCATAAGTATATACATATACATATCTTTCGATGTCGCCGCCGACCTCTGTCCCTTCTTTATTCTTTCTCTCACAAGAGCTCTTCTCGTTCACCGGGATTTCGTCGACTCTCTTCTTGCACCCATGATTACCTTCCGCCCGTCACCGGTGAAACTCCTCGAGACCCGTGACTGACGGAAGATAGAAGAGAGACTCGGAATTTCGCAGTACGCAGACCTAAACTTCGTTTCACTATTGAAACTCTGTCAAAACACGTCCACTAATAATACTGACTGCGCATGGGTCATCCATCCATGCAGGAAACTTGCCATAAGCACTGTCTTGACAGAATCCGGTGGTATATGTATATATGTACAGTTACCAGAGTGAACATGATTTATCTCCAAGAATGATTCAGCTTTCGTAGAAATCGTGACATATCTTGGTCATCTATTTGTGCCGGTGTCCAACCGTAGATAGATACGATACATGTCAATCTTTTCATTTGTTTTTTTATTTTCTCGTAATCGTGCGTGAGCATTCGAGCATCACTAAAGAGCTATATCGTGTTGTTACAGATGCCACAGCGGCTGGAAGGGCTCACTGTGTAATCAGTGCGTTCGATATCCAGGCTGCCTCCACGGTAGCTGCCAAAAGCCCTGGGAGTGCGCGTGCGACGAGGGATGGGGCGGGCTATTCTGCAACCAGGATCTCAACTATTGCACAAATCATAAGCCGTGCATGAACGGCGGCACCTGCTTCAACACCGGCCAGGGCTCTTACACCTGCTCGTGCCCGTCAGGCTTCACCGGCACCGAATGCCAGACGCCGCTCTTCGACTGTCACTCGAAACCCTGCTTGAACGGTGGTACCTGCACGATGACCGAGTCGCCGTCCGTGAGCTACGTGAGTGGCAACGGCACGGAGTTATCGTCGTCCTCCAGGCAGCAGCATCGTCGAAGCTATCGCTGCACCTGTCCACCCGGTTGGCGTGGTCGACACTGCGAGATTACGACGCGATCCTGCCGGGACTCACCCTGCCGACACGGCGCCACCTGCGAAGACGACTCTCTTCGCGGTTACGTGTGCCATTGCCCATCCGGTTATACTGGCACCGATTGCGAATCGCAGGTCAATGAGTGCTCACCAAATCCCTGCGCGAACAACGGCACCTGCATGAACCACGTCAACAGTTACCGATGCACATGCCTTGCTGGCTTCACCGGCGAGCGTTGCGAGATCAACGTGGATGACTGTGAAGGCGATCCGTGTCTGAACGGCGGCACTTGCAAGGACCAAGTGAACAGCTTCCGCTGCCAATGTATACCAGGTTACGTCGGCAGAATCTGCCAGAACAAGGTAGACTATTGTGTGGCAAAACCGTGCGCGAACGGAGGTACATGCATTTCTGGGACCAATGACTATAATTGTACGTGCAAGCCTGGTTTCACCGGTAAGGACTGTAGCGTGGACGTAGACGAATGCTGGAGCGCACCGTGTCAGAATGGCGGCATATGCCGGAACCGTGTCAACGGTTTCTTGTGCGAATGCCCGGACGATTGGCACGGTGACATCTGCAGCGAAAAAGCCGGTGCGATACCAATCACATCATCGTCCACACCCGTGATATCGAATGTGCCGCTGGCAGAACCGTTCCCAGGCAATAGCCATTCGAAGCACGTCGCCTCTAGGAAAACTAGTTTGACTACGGAACACCTGGTAATGATTGCGACTCTTTCCACCGCAGTACCGGCTTTCGCGTTATTCGCTACAGTCGCAGTGATGTGCATGAAGAGACGACAAAAGCGAGAGCAGGCGAAGGCCGATGAGGAAGCGAGGCTACAGAACGAGAGGAACGCGGTGCATAGCAGCATGAGCAAGCGTAGCGCCAGTACCATCGGCGTCGGAGGCACTGGTATTGGCAGTGTCGGCGGTCTCCTCGGCGGCGGTAGCGGCTTAATTGGCGCGGGTGGTGGCAGCGTTTGCGCTCTGGGCACCGGTGACGCGCACATGATTAAGAATACCTGGACTGCGAGTAAAAGTGTGAACAATGTAGCATCGGCAGCGTCGCGGCAGGACGATTTGGATTCGTCCTTCCAAACTGATGTAACGCTGGACAGTTCGTGTTCGGGTTATAAGCCAGAACCAGTGCTGCAAGACGGTCGGACTACGAGAACGACGAAACAGCTGAACACAGAGGCGGCAGCCCATCGAGCGTCTGCGCACCTTTTCCAGAAGGAAAAGGACTGTCTCGGCCTAGGTCTTGGTATCGGGATCTTGGAGAGTGCCAAAAGATCATCCGTATTTGCCACTACTGGCAACGTGGCGGACAGTTGTTGCGCCGCGGAAGCTGCACTGATGAAGAGGCCGACGACGATATCGGAAGCTAACAGCACCGGTCTCGTCAATAGTAATAGTAGTGGTCCACCGGGAAGCGGTGGCAGTGCCGCGGACAACAGCAATTGCGGTGTGTACGTGATAGACGATCACTACGTCAGGCACGACGCCACGCTGGCGGCAACGCTCGCGACGGAAGTGTAGTAAACTTTGGACTCCCATTTAGAGTGATAGAGAGAAAGAGAGAATACGTAAGAAAAAAAAAAGAGAAATGGAACCAGTGCGTGTGCGTATGCGAATTGTGGATCTTGTTCTCTCCGTGTGTGTAAATTGACAGACTACCCCGTTTGATTTCCTTCGATTTTTCTCGAACAACGCCCCGTCGTGATACCCTTCAGACCGCGACGCCTCGTCTCGGATGCCTGCGGGTGTTTATTTCTTTTTTCTTCTTTTTTTTTTAAATTTTTATTACATCTTTTTTTGCGAAAGCACTTGTGCATCCACGATTGGCCGCCACTAGGACTCCGCGATTGAAACATCATTTCGAGGAGAAATACATACTGCACCCGCATCGCCGGCCAGTTCGACCAGTCACGAGGGTATGTCGTTCCGATTCTACTGAAACGAGAGCGATGACGGACGAGATCGAAGACGTTCGATCGGGGTTGATCGAGATGCGACAGAAACAAGAAAAATTAACGCGATGCTGTGGGGGTCAGTCGGTTAGGCTGCCGTCGACCCATCCTTAGGTATTAATATTATATCGTGCTCGAAAGTGAACTTTGTACAGAACTAATTTATTATTATTGTTATTTACTTATTGTATTACTGATTGCTATTAATTATTATTATTATTATTATTAATATTATTACGTGTCGCATTATCATTGTTCTCGGTATTAGTTCTTTTTCGAATTTGCGTGACTGAGCTGCCAACCGGAGCAAAAATACGACAGCGAAAGATCTTTCGTGTATATTATATTCGTGTGCGTGTGAGAATAAATGAGCATGTGTGTAGAGTATTTGTGTGCATGTGTAATTGCGAGCGAGAAAGTTTAACGAATTAGCATCTTTAGAATGACCTCATCTTTTTCGTAATCAGAATTAATTTTTCGTGTAACATTATCTCTTTTTTTTCTTTTTTTTTTTACAAAGCATTCCTTTTCTCAGAGTAAATATCGTTGCAGGAACTTTTGCTTACAGTGGCAATGACATCCAGCGACGAAAAGCATGAAAATTAATATTTAAAGTGACACTTCAAAGAAATGTCTCCTCGACTTTTTGGGATTCTCCATTTCAGACAATCCCATTTGGTCGAATTCTTTAGACATCCGTTTTCCACGCCGCTTTTCAACTGGCTCAAAGGAACGTTTGGAAGAAAGGATGGAAAGCGGCATTCTTAACAAAATTCCGTCCTTTTAATCCAAAAACGTCGTTATTCCATCGCGATTGATTTAAATAAATTTAATACATGGAATTAAATTGAGCGATGCGATAGTTTCGTAGAAAATGATAAAAAAAAAATGTCGTGTAATACAGAAGGAAAAGCCCGAGCATGCGAAGCTTGTCGAGCCCTTTCCACATCTTCCACATCTTCCACATCTTTTTCATTCAATCCAATTGGGAAGAAGGAAGGAAAGGATATATGATAATGAAAAATTTATTCGCTGATTTGATCCGCTGATTTGATCCGCTGAAATTCCAAAGAAATCGCGCAGCTTTGGCTTTTCCTCGTTTAAAAAAAATCAATCTTCTACGAATCCTATGATTGTTATCCAAACGACGTATACTGTTCGACGAGACATTGCTCGCGCTACGTACGACTGAAAAGAACGAATAGATGTGTAAATTATGCAGATATATATATATACATATATAGAGATCTATAAAAATATATATATATACATATATGTGTACATATGTACGTATATGTTCCGGAACCCGTCGTCGATGACAACGATGTTTCGACGATAATACGGTTTATTCCGAAGCGATTTGGCATCGAAATCGGCGAGAGAGACGAATCAAGAGAAATTAAAAGAACAATCATGTAGCACGAGAGAACGTTGGATTGAATGGCGATTAAATTTGATCGTGGTGCAACCTTCTTTTCTCGAATAATTCAAGTATTTCGCAGAGACGTCTAAGATAATCCGGACAAAGCACTTCTTTGTAAAAAAAAAAACATTCTGATCTCTCAGAATAGATATTTTTTTAAATACCTTGTGAACTCTTGCATGTTCCTTTCTAAGATTTATACTTTTGAAAATCATTGATGAGCCGACGGTTGAACTGCGATTGAAGTTAAAATTTGGCAGATTCGATCGTCTCTTCTGCGTTTATTCGCATCGCAGACGAACGATTATTTCTGTGAAATAATCGAACTATATTATCTGCGTTCATTCGTGCAAGAAAGAAAAATCTATAAAGATCGCCTAGAATTAATTCGGCTATCGCGAATCTTCCATCATCTTTACCGCAACTAGCTGTACTTTTTTCGGCGGTACGCTCGCTGACTTCATCCACGAATGCGTGATAGATAAGTGACGATTATTGTATGTTGATGCTGCACGATCGAAGATGATAATTAATTATTTATTTATGACTGCTGATGACGATTTTATACGGCGTAAAAAAAAAAAATTAAATGGCGATTAGTGCGCCGATGACAGTGATGACGATATTATCGTGTGAAACGCGCTTGCGATGTACGAAGAGTGGGAGAGTGAGAGAAAGAGAGAGAGAGAGCGAGTGAACGAATGAGAGGGAGAGAGCTGTAGCGAACAAAGATTCGATGATGTTCCTGTTACGAAATATAATGATAATTAAATAAACGAAATGCAAGTACCGACTAAGTCAGGTTTATTTTCGGGTCTCGTTCGCGCGCGGTGGCGCAAACAGGGTGTTTTTTTTTCGCGTTTACATGACGGTCGTATATAATCGGTAACGCTTTATTTTAGATAACGGCGACCGTATATCTACGATGACATTCGCGGCTCGATCAAGAATCGCGATTAATTCAATTCTTCCCTCTGGCTTCCATCTCCCAATCCTTTCCTCCATCCCCCTGTTGAGCCCCCAACAGCCGCCGTCGCGCGCGTACAGACTCCAAATTAACGAGAAACGCGTGCGTGTAAATGCGAGATTATATTGTACGAATTACGATGTGTAATAAAAGCTGTTGTCATTTTTTGTACTTACACTCCTTCGGACGATTTGATACGTCTCGCTATCGTTGAACAATCTCCATCATTCCCATCCGTCTTATTCCCTTGTCCCACTCCCGATTAGATTTTTTTCAACGACGTTTTCAACTTTTAGACTTTTGAATTAGAATTACTTCTTCTTTGTACCAGCGATGTGTTTTCACGTGAAAAAGGATATTGTTTCCCAGTTGATAGTGGCCTTTCGTTCGCGAGGAGGCATTTACGAAGATTGTAAAGACTATTCTAGGCGTACCCCGTTTTTGTATAAAACTGAAAGAAGATAATATGCACACAGCGTATACATACACTGACATACACGCAGCACATCTGTATATTTGTAGTAGGACTATACAATTGCGATTATTATTAATTATTAATATTATTATTATATGAAACGTGTAAATAGATGAATTGTCAATATAACGATGTCACGCAAACGACAGTGAACGATTAATAATGATACATTAAAAAAAAAATGAGCTCTCGTTTTTTTTCATGTTTCACCCTGCTTCCTCTTTAATCTCCGTTACATAATAAAAATTTGATCGTGTTGTAAGTACACGATACTTTATATATATATATATATATATATCTCTAATTTTAAACATTACAAATATCTTCATAATTAAAATTTATACTTATTTCAGCACTATAATGTAAGAAAAAAATGTCATATGATCTTTCGCTTTTAATATTATAATCCTATTTAAAAAGGAATCTTGAAACTGTTAGTTTAAGTCCCTGTGGGAAGCGTTTGATTCTGGGACACTTCTTTGTATTATTTACCGCGAGCGCGCTTTCGAGGCCAGACCGATACCAGCACGCTCGTCGCTATTTCTGTGCTCGTCATCGTCATCGTCGTCGTCGTGTCATGAGCAGTGCTTAAGGAGGCAGAACACGAAATACACCGCGCGACAACAAAGACCGCGCCGGTGTGCCAGCGTTGCACTCGCGAGAACCCGCGTTGCTGCTGCTGCTGCTGCTGCTGCTTGTGGGAAGATCGACAGGAGAAAGGGTCCAGTCGAACGGCAACGACGTCGAACGAGCCGAAGTCGCGAAGAGGAAATCGCATCATTGCGGAACGACGCGAGAGAGATAGCGGCCGATAAGCCGTACAACTTTATATAACTATGCAAACCGCTCGCGCCGTACATCCTGGATTCGAGACAGCGCATCGTCTCTTCCGGATTTGAGATATTGAAACTGGTTCTGTGTGCTGATGATCGTTGCGTGTCGTTCTTTAGGCTAATTCTACAATGTGTGTTTTTGTTTTCTGTTTCTTGCTGTTTGTCTCATGTCTTGTTGACCAAAAAGGCAAGAAACAAACACAAAAGTATTAGGCATTTCTCTTTCGTAGTGCTTTAGTAAATAAAAAATCATTTTTATCGTTACTATAGATGAGCTATTTTAACTTTAAACAAATCATTTCCCATATTACGTTACGTATGTATCACGCGAGAATATTTTAATTCAAAATAAATAATTGACAAGAGAGAGAAAATTTATTAACATAAAGGAATCATCAAGAGAGTTGGAAAAATAAATATAGGTATGTCAAGCACTCTTTGAAGAAGAACTAGGATTCTATCAATTATATTGAAATTCTAACAGTTCCAAAAAGAAAATGCTAATTCTCATTAAAGTAACATGGATTCCGCGAAACGCGATAGCTAATATCCGCTGCGAGGGAAAAAGAAAATTGACATGATAAAATTGGATGTCACACCCGTGTAATCTTAATAACGAGCTGTCTCTCGTGCGGCCTCGTATAAAACACGGGATGTTTGTAAACGTCGCGCATTGCCGTGATCGTCGTCTGCTAATTACAAAGCAGTTGTTAAACCGTGCGTTCGTTCATGCACATACGAATGCGAGAAGGATAATAACTCTTAATCCATTTGCAAGAATTTATTCAGTTATTATCTTTGTAATTATTTTCTTAAACGGTAACGGAATAGTCTAAACTGTTATTTCTCGTAGCGCTTTAGTTTCAGCAAATAAAACCATTTTCATTTCAATAATTACTACAAAGAGATTTAACACTAAATTTTCAATATTAAGCTACGTATCGCGCGAGGTATTTTAATTTCCAAAATAATTAATTATATAATAATAAGAGGAATTATGTGATCATGATTGAAATGCGACGCAAAGTCTTCCACTATACAGTCTCGTTGCACATCTTTGTGGTAAAAGGGTTTGGGTAATCAAGCTCGAAAGAATCGGCACACCGCGGACAGAAACCGGGGAACCCCTCGTGAAAGCCATCGAGGGGCCCCAAGTCTGAAGTCCATCGGCCGAGAGCTACCCACGACTCATCGTGTCGTTATATACGCGATGGTTATTACCTGCAACGTTACTGCTGCTGCCGTTGCCGCTGCCGCTGCTGCAAACCTATTACGATTGCCGCGGCATTCTTCGTCTTTCTCCTCTCTCTCTCTCTCTCTCTCTTGTTCTTTTCTAGTCTCTCCCTCCTACATCTTCCTACACACTCTCGTCCTGTCTCCCGATGACGACGACAGCGCTCTATCTATCCAGTCCCATCGACTTTTGCTCGTTTCAGCCTCGTTCCCATCTATCCCTTCTTCCTTCTCGTAGAAGAGGTGACTGGATACTTAGCCGTCGTTGATCACGATTAATCTCGCGAAATTTATGTAATTTATTATGAGCGAGTAAAACCATTTCGTCTCGCCGCTAGTCACGATCGACTTGAAACTCGAGCACTCTTCTTTCATTAGCAGAGACGCATTAATGCCAATTTCGCTGTTCTGTTCTATTTAGTTTGTTGCTCGAACAATATACTGAAAAAAAAAAAATGATGTTATATCAACAGCATTCATTTAATTGAAAGTAATTTTGTTAATTCAATAATACTGTTAATGAATGTACGTACGCTCTTGTTTTAACAAAATATTAATTTTATTAATAATATTATTGAATCAACAAGATTATTTTCAATTAAAATAATGCTGTTGATATAACATTATTTTTTTAATATATAGTTGTTCGATGAATTGATATGAATTAATGCTATATCTCTTCTAAGAGTTTTTTCTAGAAGAATGAGGTATTAAATAAAGAAGATTGATAAAATGAGTATGAGGGCCGCGTGATGTTTCGAATTTACCTGATCACGTAGAGGTGTGATGTCTCTTCCAATCTAGAAAAGCAACGAGGCGAAAGCGCCGAATTATGGTAGGAAGAGAACCGACAGACCGTCGCAAACTGTCGCCATCGATCAGGGCATCAAGGATAGGGTTACGACCGGCCCTTCGCGATCCCCGCCGCGCTTCAACGATTACGAAAAGTAACCATCCCGACGCCAACCACACCATCGACATCATCCGTATCGTACTACAGAATTCGGCGCCTCCGTCCAATCGGTCGCGCCGGATGCCGATCGAAAGCAACGACCTGAAAAATTACTTCGTGTCGTACACGGTGATAGCTGTCAACAAACACGGTTGTCGAAATAATCGAGTTTTTTATCTTTTTTTTGTTGGGACATCCACGTGAATCGAAATTACAGCCAGTCTCGATAGGTTATTTAGGAATTTTTTCGATTATATTCAAAGAGATAATCTAAACAATAGATATTCAGTGGAAGAAATTAGCTCAATGTAAGATACCAATACACGGAGAGAACAGATTTACGGAAGTATG